ATACTCGAAAAAGCAATGTTGCCACTTTTTCTCTTTAAACCATGTTCGAATCGTGGAAATTTTGGAAGATCACAGGGTTGCTTTTAGCATTTAGATCCTTAATGCAAAAATGGAGTTGCATTTAGTTGCATTTAGGTGACGAATTTTGTATGGATAAATGTACATTTAGAGTAGCATTTAGAGCTAAATGCGCTAAATGTGCTTTTACGCGTAAGCAAAAACAGCCTATTACGTTCTTTCCCTACAAGAACAGTGATAGTCATTTGATTGATCATGTGATACTCACTGGTTATGGAAATGTCCATCAAACACTCCCATCACGTTTTTAAGGCCAATGTGCAAAAAATGATGAAAACAATGTATACATGTGATTTTTTATCTTCTTTCAACTTATGGTCTTATTTAATGGTCTCTTTTTAACCAACGCAAAATTTGCAAATGTGTTAGTAAGATAAATGAGAATGTGTTACCCTACAAGACGCGATTGATAGAAACTCCAACACATTCACAACGAAAACTAACACATATACAAAACCTTATATGCCACCCTACCAGACACGACTAATGCAGTCTCCAATACATTTAAATATTTCACCAATGCACTCAAAGCCCCATGTCAAAATTTACACACGTACAGGAAACATATGTTACACATAACATATCTGTTAAGTAAAAGACTCCAACGATGTCCTCTAGAAATCACACGTTTATTGCTGCAGATATTGTCGCAAAAGAGACCGTATACAAGCTGGTTTCGCGCTTATATAGCAAAATGAATATTACAAAAAAACCGTACTAATGCAAATGGATTCTTGGCAAACAATAGAAATGTCAAAGTAGATACATAGTTATCGATAAGCTAGGGTAGCCATAGAGTACAAGTTTGGTAGTTAAGAAAACATTACAATGAGTTCACACTTAACTCTTAACATCCTGCCCGGTCGAGTCGGCTGACTCGAAATCATCTTGTTCAAGCAGGCAGCATAGCTTTTGAACAGCTCGGGTGATGCATCCACTCGCAGTCTTCAAAGTGACATTTCGGACGGCTCCGTCGTCTCCGTGATGCACTGCCACCACACGACCAAGACGCCACTGGGTTGCGCCTCTGGAGCGTGATCAAATACTCGGAGCTCCAACGCTGCCAAAACTCCTGGTGGACTTGTCGTACCCACTGCCACTGCTTCAAGCGATTGGTGGGAATCTCGCGTATGTCTGGCTCCGGCACAGCTAAAAGCGGTGCTCCGATGAGAAAGTCCCCTGGTGTCAATGCAAACTTCTCGTCTGGGTCATCGTACAGTGGAGTGATCGGACGAGAATTGAGACACGCTTCTATACGCGCGGCCAGGGTCTGCAATTGGGTGTACCACATAGTCTGAGAACCAACACAGCGGACCAGATGATGCTTGGCAGATTTAACCGCAGCCTCCCAGAGACCACCCTGGTGTGGTGCACTAGGAGTGATGAAATGCCACTGGGTGCCCATGCTCGCTAACGATCGTTGATCGTTCTCATTGTTCCATGCCGCCACGTCTTCCTGAAGCAGTCGATTCGCACCCACAAATGCCGTGCCGTTATCGCTGTATAAGACGCGGCAAGGACCCCGCCGACTGGTAAAGCGTGTAAAAGCGTCGAGGAAGGCTTGCGCAGACAGATCATCCACCACCTCGATGTGAACGGCTCTAGTCGCCATGCATACAAAAATAGCCAAGTATGTCTTCACGAGAGTGCGAGAGCGTTTTGTGCCAACACGTAGAGTGAAAGGGCAACAATAATCCACCCCAGCGGATACAAATGGTCTTGCAGGTTTAACTCGCTGCCCGGGTAACGAAGCCATTTGCTGCTTGAGGAGCACCCCTCGGTGACGTCGACATACGACGCAGTGGTGTACAAAGGACTTGACAGCTTGTCTTGCGTTTAAAATCCAAAAACGGCGACGAAGTGTATGCAGCGTCAGCTGTGCTCCTCCATGTAGCGTTGTTTCATGAGCTTGTCGGATTAAGAGGTGAACGAGAGGACTGGATCTCGGCAAGATCATCGGGAATCGCTGATCGTGCTCAACTTCCGCCTTGTGGAGACGACCTCCAACACGTAGGATCAGGTGCTCATCTAAGAAGGGATTTAATGAGAGATTCTTACTTGAAGATGACAAACCTGAGCTGGCCTTCAGCTGCTTAATTTCGGACGCGAAATTACTTGCTTGCTCCAACCGGATCAAAATGTCAAGCGCATCATCTAACTCCCGTGCACTTACAACAGGTGGACGAAAGTGTCGACGTCTCGGTAACCATCGTAGCAGGACGGCCACCGTCCTTAGTAACGGCTGCATGGAACTGAAGCGTTCAGTCAACGAGATGACATGGCCATCTCGCCTGCGCGTTTCCAATGGTCGGACCAGATGCACTCCGACCAGGCACGATACTGTTCGCTCCTCAGCGTGAAGTACCTTGGACTCGTCCGGGCTGAGAGGTATGTCCGTACTATATAGCGCGGAGCTATCTAGCTCACCGGGTCCGTACCACCAAAGTGGGTGATGTAGCAGCTCTTGCGGTGTTATGCCCCTGCTAGCACAATCAGCGGGATTCTGCGCCGAACGAATGTGACGCCATCGATCTGGAGATGTCAACTCTTGAATCCTGCGAACACGGTTTGATATAAATTGTTTCAAGGTTGATGGTTGCTTCTTAAGCCAGCATAATGCAATTGCAGAGTCCGACCACAGAAAGTAGGGAGCTTCGGACAAGCTCAGGGCCGATTGCACATGCCGGAGGGTTTCTGCTAACAACACTGCTGCCGAGAGTTCAAGTCGTGGTATGGTTGAGCCTTTGAGTGGAGCCACTTTCGTGCGTGCAGTAAGGAGCGAGAGCGGCGTTGCTTGGGAATCGTCTATTGTCCTTATGTAGATCACGGCCGCGTATGCATATGAGCTGGCATCGCAGAACCCATGTAACGTGGTCCGGCCATGTCGCACCATACCCAACCACCGCTCGATTCGAACTTGATTTAGAGCCTTAAGCTTGGAACGATACCTCAGCCATTGCTCACGAAGGTCGTCGGGTAATGGAGTGTCCCAAGACAACCCCACAGACCACATCTTCTGAATGAAAACCTTCCCCGTTATTACTACGGGGGACAGCAAACCAGTAGGATCGAAGAGTCGAGCGACTTCCCTAAGCACGCTTCTCTTAGTCGGAACATCTACTGTCGGCTCAATCTCAACGCGATAGAACAACTCATCAGTCACCGAATCCCATTTAAGGCCCAGGACCGAAGTCTCGCCGGAGTTGAATGTATAACTGGAAATAGAGGCGTTACTCGACAAACACATCGTTACCTGATTATCGTTTGAGTTCCATTTGCTCAGCCTAAACTTTCCCGCAGATAGAATAGCATCTACACTCCTCGCCAGTTCTATTCCTTCACTGGCATTCGCACAGCTTGTCAAAAAGTCATCAACATAGAACGAAGTCAAGATTGCATCTCGAGCAAGAGCCACCTGATCCTCGTTTCGAATTACACTGCAGTTATCGACCGCACACTGTTGAAGGGCACGTACGGCGTTGTAAGGGCTGCTCGCCATCCCATAAGTGACTGTCTTCAAACGATAAACACCGATATTGTCTGCCGGTGACTCTCGCCATATGATCCTCTGGAGATCCTGATGTTCGGAGGTAACCAGCACCTGCCGAAACATCTTCTCAATGTCAGCGGTAATCGCCACTCGGTATCTGCGAAATCGTAACAGTATGTTTACAAGTGAGTCCTGAATGGTTGGGCCCACCAGCTGAATGTCATTGAGGGAAACGCCAGTACTCGTTTGCGCTGACGCGTTGAACACGACTCGAAACTTTCCAACAACCGCATGATGAGGGATGTAGTAGCACCCGTCATGAGAATATGGTGCTTGCACAGGCTCCATATGCCCCAGCGCAGCATACTCACGCATAAACTTCACATAGTTTTCCTGTAGTGTAGGGTCAGCAAGCAGGCGCGTCCCGCCGCAGTGGTAGATGCACGACGTAGCGCCCGTCCAGGGTACGACGATGTGTGGGGTCAAAGATGTGACCACACTCTTCATCATGAGATTCATAATCAATCGAATCGCCATCCATTCTCCAAAGATTTCGAACCAATTCTTCCAACCGCACTTCATCCTCACCTAGCAACGCACTGAGTGCGAGCGATGATGACCCATTCGATGTAGAAGAAACAGTTGCTGGGCCAAATACTACCCAGCCAAAGCGGGTACGCTGGGCGAAGGGTTCATCAGGTCGTCCGCCGATAATGTCACCCTCCAATACTTGTCCCCACACATCCGCACCAATAAGAACGTCAATAGTTCCTGGAGTACCAAACCAAATATCCGCCAAGTCCAGTTCCTTTAAGTAGGACCACTGGCGCATGTCCACCTTCATCGCAGGTGTCTGAGAAGTGATAAATGGTATCACCAGAGCTTCAATCTGCATCTCAAATTTAGTAGTTGTAGACTTCAGTGTAAGTATAACACTGCCTTTAGCTTGCGTGTTGACGGCTGCTCCAACACCCTCGATGTTAACACTGCACTTCCGTCGAAATAGCCGTAATGCGTTTGCAAAGCGATCTGTAATTAAGCTAACCTGCGATCCTGGATCGCACAAGATACGAGCCACGCGTTGAACCAATGCCTCTCCATAAGCATATGCCCGTGCTGTCGCTAAAAGAGTTATTGGCTTGGATTGGGCAATAGTGGCTGCTGCAGGGGCTGCTAGTCACAAAGCAGTTGTTGATTTTACTTGACTGGTTCCTTCATTAGACACGTGGGGTGGAGATGGTGAGGCTGGCTGTACAATGGTCGAAGGTTTGTCGCGGCACAAAATGGTGTTGTGCTTGCGGCCACAGCTCCTGCAATCTCCCGATGGACACTGCCTCGAAGAATGTCCACCCCGTAAACAATTGTAGCAAAGCTTCAAATTTCGTATTGCTTCGAACCGCTGCTCCATTGGCATTGCTATGAGTGCAGGACACTTAATAATACGATGACTTCCACGGCACTGTGCGCACTGTCCCACCTCAGCAGCTGCCACGTGCGACTTCACCGAGCGTTGCTGTCGGGGCGGAGGTTCCGCAGAAATGCTATGCGCCCGTCTTTCAAGAAATTTCAGAAGATCTTCTAGTAGAGGTATTTCGTGTGAAGAACATTTCATACACCAGTCCCTTTTCGTAGCAGATGGTAGCTTCGAGACCACAATTGGCACCGATAATGCATCCCATTGATTGACGGGAATCTCCATGACTCGTAATGCGCGCAATGTCTCATGCACCGTGTCAACAATAGCTAGTAAGGCCTTCGATGATTCTTCTGCAGCTACTTTGAGGTTAAGGAAGCGTGACACGTGTATTTCAGCAAGCTGTTTCCTGTTGTCGTAGCGCTCCTTCAAGGCCTTCCACACCTCCTCATATCCACCAGAGTATATACCTCCAACTAAGGGTACTCTGCTCGCACTGACTGCTTGCCGTAGCTTACCCAACTTATACGCTTCAGGGTAAGTGGACCGATGTACAAGCGTTTCAAAAGCATCTTTGAAAGCCAGCCAGTTACACATGTCTCCATCAAACGCCGGGATAGCAATCGGGTCTAGCTTCAAATCGACTGAAAATCCCTCTAGATTTGTGGTAGGGTCTGTGCGCCCTCCTGTACTGGGAGTGGCACTAATTTGCGCTCGAGAT